TGTCTACCTGTGAAAACTACACACAAAACCGTTCAGTAGTCCCGGGAGGAGCACGAATACATCAGACGAACAAAAAGGAATTCCAAAACTCGCCGGTTCATATTGTACAGCTTTAGTTTAGTTATCACCTTTTTATTCTTATTACTGTTCTTCATGACATGCATTTGATGATGTGTAAATGTAGAATGACAAAACTTTTTGTGTTTTTAATTTTAATAAATTTATCTTATTATTGTCTATTTTACATTTACTTTTATTTTTATCTAAAAATGTTGTGTAGCGTACACTTCAAATAGTCTTTGTTTAAACGGTATGCTTTTATCTCGAAGCCATTATTGTTTTATGTCCTGTTATTGTGCTGGCGAAATCGAGTAGTGCCCATACATCTGTTAGTAATCTGTGGTGCAGAGTATTTATCTGCACTTGGGTTGCGATAAAAAATGTTCATTTCTATACTTAATCTGTCGCAGCATTGTCTATGCCACTTTGAGAAGGCGGCACGATATGAGAACCCTCTTGTCGTGGCCGCTGGAAATTACATACCCTATCCTGTAGACCGAATGGTAAATAGTCGACGTCGCCCAAAACACATCATTACGGATCCTCCCGACCCATTAACGGTGCTTTTAAGTACCACAAGCACCAGTCACCGTCCTCGTTGAACCCGTCGCTTGCGACGAAGGGCTTGACGAGCGAATGAACCCACAGACACAGCCCACTGAGTTTCTCGCCGGATCTTCTCAGTGGGTCGCGTTTCCGATCCGGTAGTATATTCTGCGAAGCGCTGCTTTTGCTAGGGCTAGTGTTAGCAACACTCCGGTTTGAGCCCCGTGAGCTCATCTACATGTTAGGGCGAAGCTGAAATAGCCTCTCAAGGTAGGATTTCTTTTTTGGCTATGATTGCCATAGAACGCACAGATGAATTGGTAAAAGTTTTTCGTTCAGTTTACACACATCACACAGACGATAATCTAAAATTGATTGCTATGCATTTTCAGGGATCTCTATGCCGACGCGCCCTAACGAATACCGTTTTATTTATTAATAATTCCTTAGGGCGGTCATTCTAACGATGGTCGTTAAAATTTTTTTGCACGAACAAAAACCCTGGTTCGGAATCGCGACGGTCGTGAAGAGCACTGCCGAATACAGTACACTAATACAACAACCAAAAGGGATTTCCGCAGATGGTCCTACATATAATTTTGGCCCATCTCATGTATTCACATATGTCTATGTATTCTCCCTTTGTAATATCACAAAAGTGTTAATAGTATGTAGGAGTGGGTAATATCGGTTTTGCCGCGTATCGAATCGTATCTATATATCGAGGATCAATATCGGATATTGAATCTATATATTTTCTGAATCTATATATTGATGGATGCTAGTAGATTTTCTCGATTCATGATATTTGAGATTTGAAACGATACGCTGATATAATATCGTAGTAGATATAGATTTAAGTCAACGTTATACGGTTGGTTTTCTGATATCAATTTATAATATGATCTTAAAGTAATAAAAAGAACATGAAAATAAAAATATCAAAAAAACTTTCCTTCATGCTTTTACCAGGCTTAGGACTGGCTACATTATTTTCAGTTTTTAGTATTTTGTGTCTTAATTTAAAATTACAAAATATACCAAAAGAGTGTAGATTTCAAAAGTTTAATACAAACACAAGAAATAAACTCAATTATTTGGATTCAACTAAAAATAGAAAAATGTGTACTTTAAAAATCAAACACAAAAAACTTTTAAGTATTTATAAACACTTGTCCAAAAATTCTAGTTCAAGGTCAAAGCGCGTGAAATTAAATTCAACGATGCAAATAGGCTATACTGCATTCAAGTTAGGGTCGAAAGTTGAAACTTCTTTCCTTAATTGTATCCTGCTGATACGCTAAGAATAATCTACAGACATATGGACTTAAATATAAGGTTTACAATTGTATGGATAATGCCTGTTTCTGTTTCATTCATCACATGATATCCCTATCGTGCGCTCACTCACTCTGGCCGATTCGATACGAACCAAACGAATATTGCTGATATTAACGAATCGGTACGATATGCCGATGCGCATCACATCGAGCAATATCGTGTATCGGCTGATATCGAAATATAGATTTCGATTCACGAATCGGTACGATATGGCGATGCGCATCACATCGAGCAATATCGTGTATCGGCTGATATCGATATATAGATTTCGTGCGGGGCGATATCGGATTCAACGATATTGCTGCGATATATAGATATTGAATCTATATACGATTTATATCACCCACTCCTAATAGTATGCCGTTGGAAAACTTTAAACACGATCTTGAATGATGATGTTACAATGGTACGTTGAGCGACGTTACCAATTTTATCTAGCTGATAGCTAAGCTAATGTTTAGGGTTGCCACCTTTTTTTTTTGTCAACTCATGTCAAATAAAGTATTTTCGTGTACTTTATTGTTCACATAAATTACCTTAAATAACGTACAATACTTTATTATAAAGTACGGGTGGCAACCCTAGTAATATTCATGTAATGTTAATGTAATGACCTCAAGCTATCAGTATTTGCTAACACTGGCCCTAGCAAAAGCTTTTTTTTTTCTTACCTAAGCTGACAGCCTTGAGAGGCTATATCAGCGTCGCCTTAACTAGTAGGTGAGCTCACGGGGCTCAAACCTGACGACGTCGCTTACACGAAGCCTAGCAAGAGCCGTGCTTCGCAGAATCTACCACAGGATCGGAAACGCGACCCACCGAGAAGATCAGGCGAGAAACTCAGTGGGCTATGTCTGAGGATTAATTTACTCGTCGAGCCCTTCGTCGCAAGCGACAGGTTCGACGCGGACGATGACCAGTGCTTGAGGTACCTAGAAGCACCGTTAGCAGCAAAAACAATGCTTCGCAGAATCCACCGCCGGACCGAGATCGCAACCCACTGGGAAGATTGGGCGAGAAACTCGTGGGTTGTGTCTATAGGGAATAGGGACACAGGTTGTTATGTAAACAATATTGTACGTAGCCATAACATGCTGCTGCGCCCGCAAGCTTCGTTGCTTTTTACTTTTTAAGTTCAGTCGCGAATGTTTATTAATATATTTATTTAGCGTTTGCTACGAGTAAGTTGTGTTATTTAATTATTATAATTGAGTCGACTATTATCAAAGGCGGCAATCTGACTTTTGGACAATGATTGGTAAATCAGAAAAACGAATTATTGACTTTGTATTCCATTGGCAGTCACAAAACTCTTCGGAACGACATCTTAGATAAATAACAGGTTAACTATTAACCTTTATTTAATGCAGGTTTTGAACCGTATTCTTTGAAGGAGACGATTATATTCAAATAAATCTGTATTGACATATCAATAAATATTTTTTTGTCCAAATGTACAGATTGCCACCTTTGATAATAGACGACTCAATTATCTCACTTGTGATAACGCCCAGAACCATTAGTCAACACTACCAACATAACCGCCAAACGTCTATGGCGTGAATTACTTAGGTCCGATTTGTGTTGCACTACTTAGAAAACTTGATCGGACTAATTTATAAGGCTAATATTATTAGCTCTTTTTCGTGATTGAACGCTATCCAACCGTGAACAAAATATATAAATAGTCTATACTAATATTATAAAGAGGTTTTATTTTTTATTTGTTTGTATTGAATAGGCTCCGAAACTATTGAACCGATTTGAAAAATTCTTTCACTGTTTGGAAGCTACACTATCTCCGAGTGACATAGGCTATATTCCTTTTTTTAATTAGGGATCCTTACTAAAATTCCAATAATGTTACGAAAACTAGAAATATAATAATATAAAAACGATAAACCAAATTAGATAAAAACATATTATTTAAATGAAAATAAAAGTTCATTTAAATAATAATTAATTATTTAAACTACCTTTATAATTTTCTATTTTTAGAAACCTGACCCAAATATAAGGATTAATGTGTATTATAATTATTTATTTTGAAATTATTGTTAAAGACCCGAGCGAAGCCGGAGCGGGCCGCTAGTAAGAGAATATGTCCGTGAGTGAAGGATGCTCCCCGGTTTGAAGGGTACAGTAGCTGCTGTTCTAACACATTACAGACTAATACTAACAGGTAACAGGATAAATCGCTGTTTGCCCAGCGGACTCAGTGGGATATATACAACCATATGCGTGCATGAGTTTGCAGATTCAAACCATCATCATGACTGTGTTTCTAAGTCTGCCTCTTAAGTTAATTATTTAGGTAAATTGAAGTTTGTTCTGGACTCACGGTCTGTTAACGATCTCTTTACATTCAGTTAGTCTGCGGGTTAGCGTAAGACTCGTTTTTCTAATAAGAATAATATTATATTTGTGAATCTCGACCGCGTGATAAGTGCATTGTTTTACGACATCCTTAGATTCGAAGAGACGTATCGCGCGCCACTTACCCGTTTAATTTGCTACCGTACCAACAACGACTGTGCAAAGCTTGCATCTACAAGAATGATTATGTGACCACATTGAACACACAAACAAAGTTACAAATGTTTTGTTTTGTATAGATATCACCCCTTTCAGATCATTATCATAAATGTACTCATTAACTATGCATCTTCGGCGCTACTTCGAGTAGGTATGTACAAACTCAATGCCGCCGTGGTACAATTTTCGTTTGTTTTAAAAATTTTACTGCAGTTTTTTAGACTTTTTTTGTTTGTTTTTATACATTTTTAAAAATGATAATACGTCTTTACCTTTGTATTATGTTAGTATACAAATCATAATTAGTTAAATTCGGGTGTAAAAGCTGTTCTAGTGATTGCTTTGTACGAAGCGATTTAAATCTTCGGTGAATCTGGCTGTAAAGTAGATCACGTTTGCCTGGCGTGTTCAATCGACGCCGATGCAACAAAGAATGCATTAGCGCGGTAAGACGGTGTCATTGACTTATACTAGACTAAAAAAATATCATAATATTTACTGGTGGTAGTAGTACGTACCTTATGTTGGATTTTAACACTGGGTAAAAACATAACACCCGCGCTCTTCTCCAAGTTAATCACGGAACGTAGTCCCAATCTCATTATTGAGTTCGCCATGGCGGTCAAAAAGTTTATTGATTCAGAAATCAGTTTTTTAACAAGTTTTATACAGGCGAAATCACTCCGATATCCATCGGACGCGACGCGGCGACACACAAAGCGAACAAAACACACGCTCGATTTTCTTAAATTGACTGATTTGAATTGTTGCGTCGCGGTCAGTTTTATTCGAGCGCTTAGGGAGAAAGGGGAGGGGGGTGTTGTGTTCAACCGACGCGATGCGGCACGCGTGGCGGCAACGCAACATAACATGCCGGGCCTATTCGAGAAACCAGCTCTTCAAGCGCTGCTTAGCGATTTAAAGTGGCGATGAAGAATCGGTAATTAAAGATTTTAAAAAGCCTGTAAACGCACCCGGGGCCTAACAAGACGATCGGCCGATTGGTTTTTTCCTGGTTTATGATTGGTGGACGACCTAACGGCCCTCCTAGAATAAAGGGGTCACGGGACATCAAAGACATCAAATGCCGCATGCCATGTACAACGGTTGCACACTCTTCAAACCGAAGCACAATTATTTATTTAGAAGCTGACATATGGTTCGGTTTCGATTCCTTCTGTATTTTACGCTCAGACATGGGCCACTTAGTTTCTCGCCGGATCTTCACAATGGGTCGCGTTTCCGATCCGGTGGCAGATTCTGCGAAGCACGGCTCTTGCTAGGGTTCGTGTTAGCAACATCGTCAGGTTTGAGCCCCGCGAGCTCACCGACTAGTTAAGGTTACGCTGAAATAGCCTCTCAAGGTTCTCAGCTTAGATAGGAAAAAAATATCTGTATTTTGTACCATATGTTCCATGGGGAGTGCTCTGAGGAATTGTTTGAGATGATACCATCATCTCGTTTTTACCATCGCACCACCTGCCACCGGAGTAGAGTTCATCCATACTACTTGGAGCCACTGCGGTCATCCACAATGCGTTTCCAGAGGTCTATTTTGCCACGTACCATCCGGCTATGGAATGAGCTCCCCTCCACAGTGTTTCCCGAGCGCTATGACAGGTCCTTCTTCAAACGAGGCTTGTGGAGAGTATTAAGCGGTAGGCCCCTGGCTTTGCTGAAGCCCATAGGTGACGGTAACCACTCACCATCAGGTGAACCGTATGCTCGTCTGTCTACAAGGGCAATAAAAAAAATTAAAATAAAATAAAAGTTCAAACAGCTAATTTTTTTATTGTACAATGCATGCACTTTTTTACCTCACTGTACACAACTTAAACTAAAAGTATCAACTAAACTGGAAATAATGCTTAGGCGGTGAATCCTTAAGGAATGGTACGTCTATTAAAAGAAGGATTTATGAGCCAAAAGGAAACGTAGTTTTGCTATTGATTCCTAATGCAAAGGGTAGGCGACTCGACAGTCCCGATTTTTTTAAATCGAGAATTCGTATTACGTTATTTATATAAAGGAAATAAATTGAAATTACTAGTGCGGTTGGGGCTTTTGTTAAGTTTCTTTCACCGAGTGATAAAGCATTTCAATATGGTTAATTGATTTAACAAAGTACAGATTATCTTATCTTGGATTTTAAGGGCTGGACAAACAATCGCCGGTGACTCTTGGGATATTTAAATATGGAAGCGACTTTTAAATTCTTTTGTTAGCTGCATGACTTAAATTTTAAACCAATAGTAAAAAACAATTTATTTACTTGCTTAAAAGTCCACTCACCTGTCATTCAATGAAAAATAATTCGATCCTTGATAACTTACATATTAATATTGTTTAAAATATTAATTTAAATAGAAATATTAAGAGCTTTAAATGTTGTTTTCGTATTTATATTATAGAAATTAAGTCTTTCATTGTCTGGAGTGTTTGACATCATTATATAGATTATAGAAAAACAAAAAATTAAGGTAATTTATAATCGCTTCTATTCGTACACTAATATTCGTTTATCTTAAAAATTAACCTCCACAGCATCAAATCACTAACAAATCTCAATTAAAAAGTCGTTACGATGTCATTTCGAACCTTTTAGGGTTTATTGCTTTAATTAAAACTCAATGTCATAGATCGTTTTAAAACGGCATGAAATTTCATTAGCAAGAGCTTAAACATCTTTTAAGACGCTTTCAATGTCAGCCTCACGACAAGACCCGGGAAATTAAATAAAAGATAGTGTAAGTAGTTTGAGTTACAAGTCCTCTATCTTCAATGTTCAATAATTACATTGTATCTAACTATTGTACATACACATTTGTCGCGTCGTACGCTAGCGCGTTCACGTAGGCGCGTTCACTTCGCAATTCGGGTTAATTACATCATTTACATAGGCCCCTAAGTTAATTTATAATTATCATTAAAACTTTGTCATTATAACGACGCCAGATAAGTTTCAAGATTATCTTTATTTAATTTTTTATTGCTTAGATGGGTGGACGAGCTCACGGCCCACCTGGTGTTAAGTGGTTACTGGAGCCCATAGACATTTACAAAGTAAATGCGCCACCCACCTTGAGATATGGGTTCTAAGGTCTCAAGTATAGTTACAACGGCTGCCCCACCCTTCAAATTCAAACCGAAACGCATTACTGCTTCACGGCAGAAATAGGCAGGGTGGTGGTACAGGGCGGACTCACAAGAGGTCCGACCACCAGTAATTACGCAAATTATAATTTTGCGGGTTTGATTTTTAATATACGATGTTATTCCTTCACAAAGTATTTCATTAGAAAAATTGGTACCCGCCTGCGGGATTGGAACACCGGTGCATCGCTAGATACGAATGCACCGGACGTCTTATCCTTTAGGCCATGACGACTTCAAGATTTACTACTAATTACGTTGCGGTGCTCAATCAATGTGCTCAGTGCGAGTTTTTTAACGTTCTCGATCGAGTAAAAGTTAATTTAAATTTGTGTGGAGTTGGAACAGCGCCCCTAGGTGCAAACGAAGCGAAGCTGTTCCAACTCCATACAAATTTAAATTTAAAAAACTCGCACTAAGCACAGCGGTACGATATGAAGTACGTTTGATACTTTTACTGGTGGTAAGACCTCTTGTGAGTCCGCGAGGGTAGGAACCACCACCCTGCCTATTGTTGCCGTGAAGCAATATTGCGTTTCAGTTTGAAGGGTGGGGCAGCCGTTGTAACTATACTGAGACCTTAGAACTTAAATCTCAAGGTGGGTGGCGCATTTACGTTGTAGATGTCTATAGGCTCCAGTAACCACTTAACACCAGGTGGGCTGTGAGCTCGTCCACCCATCTAAGCAATAAAAAAAAACAGTTAAGATATTAAGGAGGTTTGATGCTTTTACTGCGTTTTTTTTTAATTTTTTTTTTTTATTATCTTTATAGCTACACGAGCATACGACTGACCTGATGTTAAGTGGTTATCGTCGCTCGTGTACGTCGGCAATGCAAGGGGCACAGCCAAATCGCTGCCTACCATAAAATCAATGGATTCGATTATCCGATGATATTCACTTCCTACCTGCGGGTATTGTATGCTTTTTTTTTCAATTCTCGTTGAAGGTTAGCATTGTTACGGTTTCCCCATTCTTTCCTGTATCAGTTAACAACAATATTCACAAGTTAATTTCATAGACAGAGAAGTCAATATATCTTAATACATGTCTCACTCAGTCTCATGCGCGTGGATAATGCCCTCTTACCTACAGAGGTATTAAATTGAATTTAGGGGACGATTGGCCCCTTGGATCGGTCTGTCTTTTTGTAAGATGTTTTAAAATATTTGTCTGGTGGACTGGATATATAAAAATGAAGCATCAGAATTTACGTGAGTTAGGTCATCATTTTGGGAGCTTTAAAGCGTCTGCAAAGCAATTCGGCCGACGGAAAGTGTCTGGGAGTATTGGCGACTTATTTTTAAGGATATTGCCTAAAATATACGTAAAAATCAGCTTTCAGAATTTACGTGAAGTTCGTAATTATTTTATTTTTCAGATATCAGGTACCTAATCAAGGTTACCTGATACCTGAAAATTGGCCGTCTAAGCAAGCTAGCAGGTAGACATGCGTTCTTAGTATATACTAACACTACGCAATCGGCCACATTTCGTTCGTCAGAAAATACGTGACGTCTGGTGGCCCTGGGATCTTACTCTATAACAATTCTCTTTCCTTTGGCTCGGTACTGTTAGAAGCGTATATTAAAAAATCCCGGATAGTTTTGAATTTGATATACATTTTCACTTATTAGGAAGCTATAGGAATGGCAAACTGTGTTGATTTGGAATTGTGCCCTACCTAAACAGTTGTATACCAAATGAAATATATGGAAAAGAGAAGTTTTTAGGTTCTTGCCGATTTTTTGAAGTGAAAAATTGCTTATAATTTCCACACTGTTCTGCTTATTTCATATATATCCTGCCTATTTCTGCCGTGAAGCAGTAATGCGTTTCGGTTTGAAGGGTGGGACAGCCGTTGTAAATATACTGAGACGTTAGAACTTGTGGCGGGTAGCTATCATACAACGCAAGATAATTGACAGATGCCTGAATCTCGCTTACGACATTTTAAAGATAAAGACAAGTTCCGAACAACAACATTCGGACCGTCGGTCTACCGAGCAAATATCACCCGCTCGGTGGAAGATCTTCCCATTGTCGTTTAAGCCCCCCCAAACTGGTGACCCCGACGTGATGTGAACACGCAACCTTCTGATTCATCATCAGCGCATCAAGAACTTCTTCAGGTTTGAGTCCCGTGAGCTCACCTACTAGCCACGGTTACGCTGAAATAGCCTCTCAAGGCTATCAGCTAAGGTAGGCAAAAAAAAAAAAAAACTTCGGCTACCACAATCCTCGCAGATAAAAGCACGTCATTGACAGTCGTCCCACAGCAAGCCTGCATCGCAGCCTCAATAGGACCATCGCAGCCGACTCACCGCGCTTCCTGGTCCTACGGCACGCAACTTCACTGCCTCATCACGCCGCTACAGTTCATCGCAGCCCACGACCGGATCATCAACGCTTGGGGTCACACATCTCCGGCGTGGCAGCTCTGCATCACATGGACTACGCACGACACGCACGCAACATTCAAGCTCAGTCTCGACTTACCGCAGCACTGGCGACAATCACGCAGCATTCAGCTCAGTTTCGACTCACTGCAAACTTCGAGCAGCACTAGCGACACGCACCCAGCATTCAAGCTCAGTCTCGACTCACCGCAGGCTTCGAGCAGCACTGGCACTTGCAAGCTAATCTCAGCACGGACAACGCTAACTAAAAATGACACTACCTCCAGTCTCGGAGGGGAGTGATGTGACGGGTGGCTATCATACAACGCAAGATAATTGACAGATGCCTGAATCTCGCTTACGACATTTTCAGGATAATGAAAAGTTCTGAACAACAACATACGGACCGTCGGTCTACCGAGCAAATATCACCCGCTCGGTGGAAGATCTTCCCATTGTCGTTTAAGCCTCCCCAAAAACTCATATCTCAAGGTTTGTAGCGGCATTTACGTTGTAGATGTCTATGGGCTCCGGTAACCACTTAACACCAAATGGGCTGTGAAGTCGTCCACCCACCTATGCAATAACAAAAAAAATATACTTAAATATAAAGTCTGTTTTAGAAAATAAAATATATTTACAAATCGCTTTTGCGTTATTTAAAAAAACATCAAATAAATATTTCATTGGCCCCACAGTCTTGTCTACTTAGTAAACGAGATTGACAGGAATCGTAACTTCAAAACCAAAGCTATAGAAGAAAGTTTAATGCCTTAAACATAAGATCCCTTCCCACGCCGAAACTTTTAAAAATTCGAGTCTATTTACATACATACAACTTTCACTTCACGTTTGTTTGCCTATTGAGGGCATAAGGGCGTAATGCATCATTCTTATCATAAAATTATAATTGTAAATAGACATGCTCTAACAAAAACCGACTTCATATAACAAAAAAGATATTCCAAAACAAATTAACAGACACTAAAAACAATAATCATCGAAATGGGTTAGCGTGATATTGAGTTATTGAGTTATTCATCTATTTGTCGCGCACTGTTACTTATGCAGCGAAGTGTCAGCTTTCTAATAAAAAAAATGTGTGCGTGTACTAGTGTACACACGTAAGAAGTGAAACTTCTTTATGGCCTTATTTTTCGAAAAATGATCTACATGCAACTTTCTAGAAATTGGTTAAATAAAGTTAAATTAGATAAAGTTTAAACAAAAGGATTTTATTATCATAGACATGAATACAAAAAAGTTAAATTAGATAAAGTTTAAACAAAAGGNTCGGTTACGCGTCACATTTTTCCGTTACGCGCCATCTTTTTCTTCACCATTCATTGTTGCCGTACACAAGTGAAGGTGCCTCTTTACTCGGTAACAATAATTATAAAATACCGATGATTTTAAGTGGAGATTTTAATGTAAATTTTGCATCGGAAAATTCTTTGAAGCTAGTTGAATTTCTGAAAGATAAATTGAATTTATTCCAACGCCGATAAAGAAGTTTCACTTCAAAAAAGAATCATCAAAATCGATTCACCCAGTCAAAAGTTCAATGTAACAAACATTAAAAAAAGTTTTGAAGTCGGTTAAAAATATAATGAACTATTGTACATTCTAATATTAATGGGGAAATTTTAGTATTCTTACCGACATAGACGATTGCATATAGCATTTTCTATCGAAGCGACAGTTCTCCAAAAACCGATAAAGTTTAATACGTAAAAACATATTATTATCCTATTACTAGAGTGCTTACTTAGTGCGAGTTTTTTATTTATTTATTTATACTTTATGCACAAAACAAAACTTGTACACAGGCGGACTTAATGCCATGGGCATTCTCTTCCAGTCGACCATAGGGTGGTGCAGAGATAATGCATGGTAGGTGCATTGACAAAACAATAACAAACAACAACAACAAAACAAAAAAAAGAACAAACTCAAAACAAAAATCTTCCTTAAAATAATATCTCAGTATTTTACCGTTCTCGATAGCGTAAAAGTGAGCTCATATTCGTATAGAATGGGATCGTTCGCCTACGTTTGCCGCTAGGGGTGCTGTTCCAACTGCATACAAGATTGGCTTAACTTTTACGCTATAGAGAACGTTAAAAAACTCGCACTAAGCACAAAGTTATAGACGTGTGAGCTGACAGTCCTCTTCATGTTAAGCTCCTACCAAAGGACTACAACGTAAGTAGGTATTATTGGCCATCTTGAGATGTAATATGTAATTATTATTTTTCAATTCTTAGTAACCTTGAGAGGCTGTGCTAGCTTCAGCGGACGTGTAATCTTGGATCTATTTAATTGGTACAGCGGCTTGGCTCTGCCCCTGGCATTGCTGACGTCCATGAGCGACGGTGACCACTTCTTACCATCAGGTGGGCCATATGCTCGTCTGCTTACAAGGGCAATAAAAAAAAAAAAAATCGGTTTTGATAATTTGAGTATTCGTTATACAATTTCAAACTTAAGTTCGTGTCACAACAAGAATAACAACATTCATTTAGTAAAATAACACCACAAAATCTATATTCAATATAATTTTATTTACAAAAACAATAGCTTAGTATCTTATTATGTAATATAACCAAGTGCTTATACATGAGCGAATATTCTAACAGCATTACTCAAAAGGTTTTTAATAATAAATAATCTATTATATTTTTTTATTAAAATAAAAATAATAATTTACTTTGACAAGAATATGTTTACGTTTTAATTGTGTCGTAACAACATCCTTGCCCTTCAAAGCATACTGCGGTCCGGTATTCACGATTTTTCATATTAAACACATACCCACTCCCACCTGGTATTAAGTGGTTCCCGGAGCCTTCCACACGAAAATTCCTAGTACGATCTACCGCCTGTATAATTCAGAAATGTCAACCATGTTTACGTAACCATTTTATGTTATAATACATGCAATTTATATATTTGATAAACTTAATGTTAGAACCTCAAAGGCGAAGATCCCAAGAAATAGACGCAAAAAAAATCTACATGCACTTAAACGTAAATAAAATTCATTTGCCTAGAAAAATATATTTTATTTTTATAAAAGTCCATATCTAGTGAACCCGCAAAGTATGTTGAAGACAGCTCGCAGTCAGGTTAATTGAAGACATGAGTGGATGAAGGGGTTAAGTACAAAATTTAAGATTTTTAAGTTTTTACATTAAATGTAAGGTGTTATGTGCTTATAAACCTTATTACATCTTAAAACTCCTGGTTTAAAGACTATTTTTACAAATTGCAAATGTGTACGAAGAAAAAGTACAAGTAAGAAAAGCTTGTTGCCCGTTTTCTCAAAATTAGCAAATTGTATCATAATAATATATCCTCTTCATCCACTCATGTCTTCTATTGATTATTGATAACGGTAAGGGTTCAAGACTTCGGGCATCCAGTATACAGCATTAAGTATTACTTGAAAATGTTAAAATTTAATTCCTAGACTGTTTATAACAAAAACAAATTTCCGTTGACCCTATCATTAAAGAAAAAGATTAAGCTAATCACAGAGCAATTATTACTTATTATGTCCGTTACACTTGGATCTTAAAGGGATAATAGGTTACATCAGGATTATTGTTAACAGGATAATGTTAAGAACGAGGATTGAAAAAAATATCATCACTGCATTGCGTATCACCAATTTGCATTACGTGCAATGTAACAATTACACGTAGGCTGAGCCGCGAGGTCAACGGCCTCGAGCACGCGATGTTCACGGGACGAACTTATTAAAGTGATAATGATTTCTTATTTAAATAAATAAATATCTTTTCAGTTATTTTTTTTTATTGCTTATATGGTTGGACGAGCTCACAGCCCACCTGGTGTTAAGTGGTTACTGGAGCCCATAAACATCTACAACGTAAATGCCGCCACCCACCTTGAGATATCAGTTCGAAGGTCTCAGTACAGTACAGCGGCTGCCCCGCCCTTCAAACCGAAACGCATTACTGCTTCACGGCAGAAATACGTAAGGTGGTGGTACCTACCCGTGCGGACTCACAAGACGTTCTACCACTAGCTAAAGAAATTATAATTTTGCGAATTTGATTTTTATTACACGATGTTATTCCTTCACCGTGAAAGTCAATCGTGAACATTTGTTAAGTACGTATTTCATTAGAAAAATTGATACTTGCCTGCTGGTTTATTTTCCAACAGTAATTTGCTGCGATACAACCCGTATAGCATCACCCATATCAAAAACATGTGTATGTGTTTAACCAAACAAATTCATAAAACTAATGTTACACTTCTGTTAAAATATTCACTCATGTTACTAAATGGCGGAAAGTATAACAGATCATGTCTTCTTGTATTCAATTCTTTCAACTTTGACTTCATCACCGAGGAGCTTGTAAACGTAGGTGACCACTGTCGAACTCTGAATGTCCATCAGCACAAACGACGGAGTAGGATCCCTGGAAGAATAGAAAATTTGTGATTTAGAATTATGAAAAACTATCTATCTCTCTTATTATAGAGAGATTATGCTTTAATGCACACCAAAACAAGATTAAGATTGAAAATCAATTCACCCTATTCAACTTCAACCTTATTCAAATTCCCAAAAACATACAACAGGTGTGTATTGGTGCACTAAGAGATCTATCAAAACAGATCAAAACTTTAAATATATTAATAAATAATAAGAAAAATATATATACATACATACATACATACAATACACCTACACTACTTCCAAATAATATAAAATCACTATATCACTTACATACCATTATGCATTAATTTAAAACAACAATGTTTGCAAACATGTGAAATGAGTCTAAACAAAAAGCACAAAGAAGATAAAATCGATGCCTCCAATGAACACTACGCTAACTCCAAATTCGTAGGTTTACAGGAGGAGCGTTTAAATGAAAAAAGTTAATAAAATCTTTGTTATTACAGATATATTTATGGTTTTTTCTTGTGTAACTAGCTGATTTACTCTTGCTTCGAACCCCATCAATAATAATTTGTAATACTTTTAAAATAGTGAAGCGATTTGCGTGAAAAACGAAAATTTCAAAATTTTGAGTTAGATTAGTGTTCATTGGAGCCATCGAAATAATGGTTCATAATTATTTTAATGCAGTTAGTTCTTTATTCGTAGTATAATCTGGTACAAAAAGAAGAACAGTCATTATTCATAACATAATTGAAAATTTGATTGTGTTTGTTTGCATGACCACTTAAAGTTGTCATTAGAGATATGATGCTCTCGCCTCTGAACCAAGGAGCAATATTGTTGGCCATTAGTGCTGTGGTAATAGCAGAGGTTTGGCAGAAAACACTTTTATTGAAGATTTTTTTTGACTCAGTTGGCAGACAAGGATCAAGCATTCAGGCCACTTAATGCTGAAAGGATCACTCATGGGTGTCGGCAATGCCAGGGGCACAGCTAAGTTGCTGCCTACGAATAAAGATCAGAGATAAAATTCAAGTCTAACTATAGTGATTGAAGCACACATTGATCACTGGATTAAAAGGAATGTATTTACAAATTGTGATTTTTTATTTTTTATAAAGAATTTGGCTCCAACGCCTTTGGCGTTGATTTTGGCAATGTCAAAGTATTTACAAAAATGACCGGTACTTGAAGAGGAAAAAATTACTAAATCCAAATACAAATAAATTTAGTCAGTTTTTCCATACGCGAATCTGTGGTTTTAAGAGCAGCACAAACAAATATATGTTAGACTAACTACTTTATAGATAAATATTATTAGCAGATAAAAATTTACACAGAATATTTACATGTTTAGAATAGACTAAAGTTAATAAACAATTAATATTAATAGGCTGGGGAATGTCATTTAGAAGGATACCATAAAGAGGGGAGATCTTTTAATTGCCGTTGTAGACAAACAAGCATACGACTCAGCTGATGGCATGGGGCCATTGTCATTCATGTACAACACTAATACCAGCAGCACGTTGCTGTGCAGCTGCTAGCTTAAGGTATTTTTCTTTCTAAGTCTCAGTTTTATTTACAATGTAATAAAAATATGGACATTCATAGATGTTTTTGAATACAGTTGCAACTCTCTATATGAATGCACCAGGTATCTTATCCTTTAGGCTATGATGATTTCTGAATATACTGTATAATGCAAGAACCATAATTACCTGTATAAAGGGCTGTAACCTCCAGTAGCTGAACCAGGATTGATATAGAACTTATTCTCGTGTTCGTAAGCCTCAAAGCGATGCGTGTGCCCTGATATCAGGATGTCCACATCCAGCTGCCTCTGTATCAAAGCTAGAGACTCTTCATCGCCCCAAGGGACTACTTGGTGTCCATGAATCAGTCCAATGCGGAACTGTCCAACTGTGACGACTTTCTGCTCTGGATATGTCGCATTCTGAGAGGTATTTATAATTTTATTGTTACTAAGTGCTTGTATGATGTTAGTGCTATATAGTTAGGAAATTTATATCAACTTTTAATTAAATATACTCTATTATGGTTAATGTCAATTTATAATTTAATTTTACGATTTTAGCTCAGACTATCAATGAGTTTTATTCGGACTACAAAAATTTTGTGGTGAAGTATAGAAACTGTGCTATGTTCTGATTTTTTTAAGCTTTGTATGGGTAGTAGTGTGTAAGAACCATTAAATATCTATAGTTCCTACTAAGCCAGATGAACTGACATCACTACAAATTAGACAAGAACAGTTACAAGTTGGTGTTGCCTTGTGGTGGTAGTGCCCAGACTTGTGGCCATCAGGTGGGCCGTATGCCTACAAGGGCAATAAAAAATATATATTGGTAATTACTATACATATCTCATTCCTAGTTACTGTGCTGGTATGGTTAGAGCAAATTGTGAGCCCACAGAGGTTGGTAACCCCATCCTATTTCTCATAAACTAATAGTACTTTCTAGATAAGAAAGCTGTTATTCCAATTCTAAATTCCACTTTTACCAAAATCCTGAAGAACTTATTTGACACATGAGTTCATAAATAAATAAATCCAATCAAAGCTCACACTTACAAATAGACTTTTATTAAGATATACCAGTCACTCATCCCAATGAAACACCTCTTAACATTATTTCAGCAGATTGTCTGACTGTGATAATCAAGGCCAAGATAATCTCTGTATATAAAAATGAATTGCTGTTCGTTAGTCTCGCTAAAACTCGAGAATGGCTGCATTGATTTGACTAATTTTTGTCTTAAATTATTTGTGGAAGTCCAGTGAAAGTTTAAAAGGTAGATAATATAAAAATGCTCGGGATTAAATAAAAATAACAATTTTGTTTTTCCTTTGATGTGTCCCCCGTCGGACGGATGCCTTTTGTTTGTTTTATGTTTATACAAAAGTTTAGATCTTTTATTTATTGATTGAGGCACTACGAAGTCTGCCAGGTCAGCTAGTATGTTAATCAATAAAAGAAAAAAAAAAGTGTTATACCTCATCAAAATCTCCCCTAACAACATGCACATCACTGGCCAAAGTCTTCAAATAATCATAGGAGTCTTTTGTACATAAGTTTCCAGTACACAATATATGCTGTATCCTTCCAGGTAGTAGCAACTTCTTGAACTTAGCTGGCAAGCTGCTGCATCTGTGAGGAATGTGAAGATCCCCGAGGACAAGTACCAACTGGAAATTACAAGGAAATCAATGTTATTTGATTTACAGTTTACTCGTAAACCATTTTGCAGTTGGTTTGTTTGAAAAAATGTTAATATAACAGATTTCTTAACATTATTATTACACTTTTGTCTAGTAGACACAAATAAACTTGAGTTAGTCATTTACAAATATATTTTTTAAATTACTTAAGACTTTATAAACGGAGACAAATTACATTTAGAATGTTACTACATTAAATTGTTATACAATTTACAATTTATAACATTGTGCAATGTTATAACTAATTTATTAGAAGAATTTGTATATTTTGTAATAAGTAATTGTAATAAAAAGAATTAGTTAAAAGTTGTGAATGATTTATTGTGTTTTGTACATAAATATTAGAAATAATGATTGTAAATGATTTCTTAGGTGGCATAGGAATTTGAATGTCGGTTAGGTGGATAGATTTAGAATCCATGAAGGATTACAATTATTTATTTTACCTACATTGAATTTTTGCACTAACTTAAGTGAACTGTGTTTATTTCTAAATACGCAAAATTCCACAAATTTTATGTTTTGTCATTATTTAAACGATTGGAAACGAGCTTTTCGATGCTGTACCACTTAAAATTTTGTGGGCGTTTTCGAAGCAATTATGTACATTCATAATATTACTCACCATTTTGTATGATATATTTGTACGCTTATACAGTTAAATCCGGCTGTATACTACCGTAAATTATGATTGTAAAGTAATAATTTTTAATAATATCACAGATTAATGTTTTATTAGAATATTTTTAAGAATTTAGTAAGCTGTACATATGTACTTGACAGTGTATTTTGACTTGACATGTGTTTGTAGTAGTTCTATTTTTCCAACTAGAGAGGCAAAGGTATCACACCATGCCGCTTAGTCTTTTATATATTTTTTTATGAAAAATGATAATATGAAGTAAAGTAAAACGAAGTTGGTCAATTTGAAACATCAATTGGCATAATTATTAAATGAAATTAAATGAGATGAGATGATATGGGATGAAATATAATCTCAGTAAAATGGTGGTTATTTACTGAGACTTTTTCAATAGACTTTTTGGTTGGTCCCGAGAAGCTACGTCCAGCGGTTTTGTTTTAATTTCTCACATTTGTGCACTTTCACAAATACTAAACAGTTAATAAACCACAGTTAGTAATCGAACATTATTAATTGACGTGTGTTTGATTAATCGGCAAACATTTTTATGTGTATTAACTATTCAGGCAAAGAAAATATAGCCCATATAATCAAATCTCTTAATTTAAAGACCGAAGTAATTGCTGTTGTGGGAATAACAAAAAAAAAGGAAAGAAATTAAATAAGTTAAGATTAGACACCACCGTTGCTATTAGATGATATACACTGATTTTTCGTTTAAACTTTGCCATTTTATTTATTTACTAGCGACCCGCCCTCGCTTCGCTTCGGAAACATTAAAACACAGATGAAACAAAAAAAAAAAAAAAAAATAAAAAATAACAAAAGTAGCCTATGTTCATCAGGGACAATGTCGGCTTCTAATGGAAAAAGAATTTTTCAAATCGGTCCAGTAGTTTCGGAGCCTATTCGAAACAAACAAACAAACAAATCTTTCCTCTTTATAATATTAGTATAGATTGTGTGGACGGTTGAACTTACTTAACCAACCTCATCTTAAGTTGTCACTGAACTCTGAAGCCCGTAGATATCACAACGAAAATGCCGTCTCCTACCTTGATATTTAAGGTCTATTATCTCAAATGTACAGATAATTACGAAAATTACACTTTTTGCGGGTTTAATTCTTATAACACTGTCTTGGTGCTTCATCGTTGTACATGTATCATACAGTACATATTTCATTAGAAAAATTGTACCTATCTGAGAGATTTCTATAAGAGCATAATAACATAAGTCGCGGTAATAATACCACATTATAATACGTTTAATCCTGAAGAAACATTAAAATAACGATATCAAATAATTCACAACTACCCTTTTCGTGATGTTTTAGTTGATAATTTTTGAGTTCTACCCTATTTACCCTAATAAAAAAGATGGAAAGATGATAAATCTTATGTATTGTAAATAGAGACTACTGGAACAAAAATTCAATTGTCTCTGGTTCAGTGTTACAATGTTTAAATTTTACACTGATTTATTTCTATTTAAATTGAAGTTACTCCAACTTTTAGACTGAGTTCAAAGCATTTTTAGTGAACTATTCATTTTTGGGAAGGCAGGCATTCTGGCATATTTTCACTTTGAAAGATTAGAGTTTTTAAAAATAAAAGCCAGAAAACAGTGATTCTACTTGTAGTGCTTCTCCGTGACTAGAAGTCGGCATTTATATTAAAATTTGAAATCAAGTGGAATAGCTGCTGTGTTAGCTCCAGTCTAATGTTCTGCAAACATAATTAGCTAACCACTCTGTTAAAGAAAGTTTCATCAAAAACCAATTTTTCTATGACCAAAAAAATAGTTGGATTGATGGATAGTTGGATTTGAAATTTCCTCTCAACTATTTATATTTCACAATTTTTGTATTTATATTAAATTTATAGACCATCATATATATTTTATTTTAATGACATGAAGAAACAAATGTTAAAGTTACAAAACGGATGCTGAAAAAAGCAATCTCAGTTATTAAATATACAGTATTAACACCTGAGTATTAACATTGAAAAAAGTCATATGAGATAAATTGCAAGAAATAAAAATAAAAATGTTTCCTCAAATTTTACATAAACCGTTGTATTAATACCTGGTGCGTTTTGTTCCCGGTCACTGAGCAGCCTCATGGTTGGTCTACAACAAATAAAAAAATGTATATGTACATACTATACAAAACAGATACAGATATTAAAGTTTGAAAAAAAAATTTGTTATTTGTTAACTTGAAATAATAAAATGTGTACTACGTTTCTATTATTTTGTAGATTATTTTTTCCTTCAATACTGTAATCTGTTTCCGGAAGTTATAAAATAAATTCGGCAACACTGATCTGACCATTTCTGTGTGCTCTATTTAATTTAGTCTGTGGCCGAAAGAAGGCAGAGAGAAAAAGATATATTTCATGGTGTTGTGGGTGACACATACGTAGTTAAAATTTAGTGTAAGTTAAAACACATTGGCACCAACTGCAGGGATATGGAATCAATGGAATATGAGCTCGCTAGGAATCTCACTCTGTTATTCTTCGTGGAACGCCTGCTCGATAAAGGCGAGCCGCGCACGTTACACGATCTTTCCTGCCAGTTTGGTGCCAAAGGATTCACTAAGGAGATGCGGCAGATAGCTGGCGGGTCACAGTCGGGGCTCAAGAAGTTCCTGGCCCAGTACCCAGCGTTGTTCAGCATAGACGGGGACTATGTTGATATCAACACGTTCCAGAAGCATCTAAGCGGGGCTGGGGTGTCCTCCAATAATGATTATATCGAGGAAGCCAAGCAGTACTTCGCTGGCAAGATGATCCAATACGGTGAAGGCACTGAAGTGCCCATCAAGAGTCTCCTCGGTCACAGGAGCCAGGCCTCCCCGCAGGTGCGTCACATCTCCGGGCAACGCATCAAGGAGTTCAAAGAGTTCCTCATGAAGCACCCTGATACGTTCCAGATCATAGATGACAATGTTGTTCTAGTCAGTGAGAATCATAGGAGAGATAACGCACACACCAACTCTGAACACTTCCATAATCTACCAGTTGCCAACATCAATACTGACACTGCCCAACAGCTTCTAGACTACATTGCGCAGTGCATTGAGGCCAAGGGCCCTGTGATGGTTGATCAGCTCTTCCATCTAATTGTGTCACGCTTCCCACAAGAATACTGGTATCAGATGTTTAAGTCTCCGGCTGATTTAAGTGCCTTTTTGAAGTTGTTCTCTGATAGTTTTCATGTACAAGCAAACCTTGTCACCCTAATTAGCAAACCAAAAATACCTGTTATGTATCTTAATGTGAAACCAAAAGTAAAGACTGACACACCAAAGCCTATGGCAGAAGAGAAAGCCCCTTCTCCTGCTCCCCCAGTGGCGGTTAGTCCTACTCCCTCAGATGGCAAACAGAGCCCTGCAAACAGAATACTCAGTCCCATAGAATCTCCCCGCGGTCAACAATCCAATATCGCTAATCAAACACTTAAACAAAGAATCAATTCTATTGTAATTAAGAATTTGGCTGAAAATATGGTCAGAGATAGGGTAAATAATCATTTGAATGCAAGAAACTCTGAAGAAACCAATGGTACTCCAAGTTTGAGGAATACTGTAGTAGGTGATGTATGGAGACAAAAAGTTCTGCAATGCACCACAGTCATAACCAGCGTTAGAGAATGTGCAACTTTAATTGATAGCATTATGGCTCCAAAACGCAATGCCAAAAATATAGTCTCCTTTGATTGTGAAGGAATAAACCTGGGTCTCAAGGGAGTGTTGACATTGTGTCAAATAGCCACTCTGAATGGTGAGGTGTACACATTAGATATAATGACATGCCCAGGTATGATAAATGAAGGAAAAATTAAAGACCTATTAGAAAGCGAGCATGTCATTAAAATTATTCATGACTGCAGAAATGACTCTGTTAATTTGTACAATCAATTTGAGATCACAATGAAGAATGTGTTTGATACACAGGCTGCCCATGCTGTGTTGCAATTACAACAACAGGGTGTGCCTGTTTACAAAGTTAAGAATCTTAGCTTGAATGCTCTATGTGAACTATACAATGCTCCAATGAATCCAATGAAAGAACAATTAAAGAACTTGTACCGTAGGGATCAAAGATACTGGGCCCGCAGACCTCTTACAAAAGATATGATAATTTATGCTGCTTCAGATGTGCTTTCTTTAGTAAACCCTGCAATATATGCTTATATGTCATCTAATATTATGCCGGAAAACCAACAACTTTTTGAAGAATTAAGCAATGAGCAAGTGTTTATGCATATTCAACCCACAGAAGTTAAACTTCGCAAGAGACAAAGAAAAATTAACACAGAAGTGGGTGAGCTAAAACAGAAATTGGCAGAGAGCACTAAAAATATTGTGTTGAGCAATAGGGAGATACGATTACTCCGATATTTAGAACTTACAGAAGAAGAAAAAGAAAAATTAAAAGGTTGTCACAAAATATCTAAGAAACTAGAGAAATTGGAAGCAATTGGGCAAGATAGAGACTCTGATTCAGATGATGATGACAGGGAGAATGAGATGGCTAGCTTGGATTCTAACCCCTCAGACCCAATTTCGTCACCCCATTCCACACAACCACCCAGCCTCACAGAGTCAATGCAAATGATGGATGAGATCTTGTCGGACACCAACATGGATAAGGTTGAAAAGATAAATCGCTTAGAAGCTATATTATCAGCAGTGGCTCCCCTCAGTGGGGAACTGGAAGAGAAATTCTCACAGACAATGGAACAAACATTACCACTGCTAAAAAACAAAGATTGGTCAAATCTGAGCCAAATTCTGAATATGGGAGACACAGAAAACAAGAATTGTTGCTGCAAATGCCATAACGGTGGTTTTGAAGAGGTGAAATGCAATGACCTAAATGAATTGAAAAAATCAGAGGTCGGATCACAAACTCTTAGCACTGGAGATATAGTCATCACAAGAATACATTTTAGGGAGGAGGACAAGGTTAATGAGAGGGTTGTGGATGCGTCCCCAATGAGTAAAAGGGTTGGTATAAACAATATGTCTTGATGATACTCAGGATTACTTAATACTTCCATACCATTACCATACTTGTACTATTTTACTGAGTGCCACTTTAGTTGCAAACTCATTTTTGTCTTTTTTTGTGATCAATGTTTTTATTTAGTAGTCTTTAAGTTAACTTAAAAGTAATGAACGCATAGCCCTCGCCCGATTAATACTGACGAGGGTAATGGTGCAGTTCTGAGATGGGAGTTAATGAAACTTATTCTGAGGTCATGCTTTACGAGGTGTATTAACGCCAATGCTGTGTGTTTATTTAAGCGAAAACAAGCATATACACTCGAATAAATGCAACCGTAACTAGCATAATACAAAAACAGCTACTCAATTCCTTCATCTGGAAATGACAGTATTTGCTGTGTGTAGTATAATATCCAATGTATTTTTTAATTTATTTTCGGCTATTGCCCGTGAAGCGTCCCAAATCTGTATGTGATAGATTTCAAGGCCTTTATCTTTGAATTGTAAATAAGATAAACGCAGTTCGGAGCTTGCATAATCTTTTTGTTCTTTAAATTTTTATTGTAATCATGATACGTTCGTTATGATCATAAGGCGTTCGTATCGTACACAAATGGCTTGTATAGTAATTATACAACTTCGTATTTATTTTATTGTAAAACGTTCAGTACCTACTAGGTATCATAATTGAACACGAAGAGAATGGCAATAATAGTTGTATAGGTACAGTGAACATCTTTCCTTGTAACATATTTATCTAACAGATATATTTTGTAAGTTTAGGAATTTTAAAAGCCTTTAACAAATATTTAAATTTAAAAAGGTAATAGGGTTATGTACGTAGCGTTACAAAATAAATGAGAATTTTATATTGTACGTAGTCTTGGTGCTTGGATTATGTCGGTATTTCTTTTATTACGTAGATTACTGATTTGTTTTGTTTAGAACGAGATTTTGTAGTCGAAGTAGAGAGCAATTAAATATTTGTGATGTGATAACCGATAAGTTTTAGCTATTCTTAACATTTTGTGCCTTCAAGTCATATCGGACGTTTGCCTTGATGAAATTTTGAAGTAGAAAATTTATATCGTATTTAGAGATGTTATTTTTTTTGACACTTAGATTTTTAAAACGAATGTCACTTTTTACTACCATTAAGCAAAGGGAAATACCATTAGATAAAACTATTTACACTAAAAGTTTTTAGAATCTTATTAATTTATTCACGATCATGTGGGTGAATCGTTTTCACATCAATTATTCCTTTGTCAATTTAGTAGCATAGTTTGTTCAATGGTCTTTCGAGACATTGTTGAGATAGGGTAGAATTTGAAAAATAAAAAAGTATTATTTTCAAAATAAACCCATGAACTTTACTAATGTTTTCTAAATATGTTATCAAATCTTCGAATAGTTTATATACGTTATAACAAATTACATTTAAGTGATATATGTACTTTTAATGCTTTTCGCTTGTATTGCGCAAAGTTGTTGCATGTTTTTAAACATATCTTCCTTCCACGTATTATTTATCAGTATTCTACCAATTTTATTATTTTCTTTTTTTAGTCCGCATAGAAATTTACACTACTGTTTTTTTTTTCTTTAATTCCAAATTATAATTCATAAACTTAAATGGTTACGATAGCTTTCGGCAGCTATTATGAAATGGAAAATATAAAAACAATTGTGCATCATAACTTGCACATAAAATTACAAAATGCTCTTCATAATAGTTAAATTTTTATTAAGATGTTTGTCAGTGCCACTTATATTTATAATATTTTAAGGAGCATTTCTTTAGTCATTTTAAGCATAATCCATTTTCTGTTATGAATCCTAACATAATAAAGAAAAGTAAAGTATACCTAACATTAAAACGTATTGCATAATATGCAATTTTATAATAACTGCAAATTGTTAAGAAATAATGATTTGCGCATTGTTCATGTTTATTACAAATAAAAATAAAATGTAAATTATTTACAGATAATTTGTTTTATTTTAAATTTATTTTAGTATAGATTATTAAGGGAAGCTGAGTGCATTTAAGCGATACGGGAGTCGCCAAACCGGTATTCTCGATCACAATTTATTTTTTTCAAAAGATTTAGAAAACAAAATGAACTTTTTAGCAAAGAACTCAATTTATCGGCATGGGTTATAAACGATCGTCATTTGATGATCCTATTTCTACATATTTATTTATTACACTTCATATAAAATTTATATTGGCGGACTTAATGCCTAAAACGTTCTCTACCAGTTGACCAAAGGTAGTGCAGAGTAAACAGTGGTAGGTGCAATGAAATTTACATTAAACTTAATATGTATTATACGTTAAAACAAAATCTATATTAATATGTTATCGAATTAAACCATTTATATTAAATATCAATCAAAATTCTCAACATACCACAATAAGTGTTTATGAATGTAGAACATTAAGTATTGTTAGAACATTAAAAGTATTTTTGGCCTGTAGTTTGTAACGCCGGCGTTCATGTGTTACGGTGACTAACGTTAGATGGCCTGGAAAAACAGCTCCATCAATAGAAATAATTAATTGAAACATTCAGGTTGTGGTTCATAGACCCAATATTCTCCACATCTTAGTAAGTAGGTAAGTTAATGCATGTTTCTAAGAAAAAAACATGGCGGTCGGCAGTGCGCGGTACAGTTTGCATAATTTAGAATTAATATTAGCGACTTGTAGCGAACCGTCGCGTTGCCTGCTCGAAACAATTAATATTCATACGTCTCTCTCTATTCGTAATTTAGTGAAAAGAAAGTGAACAATATGAAATATGAGAACACCATGACGTAACCGTTGAATCGGCACATTGCATACGGTACTTTAAATCCAGAGCTTAGTAATGACTCAATTACAAATGTATGTGAACTCATACTTTGTCGTATAGTGATTACTTGCTCAGTGCTTTGTCGCTTTGAGCGGATACAGATTATATCGTAGAAAAACATGCCCACTCACGCTCACCTAATCGTAAGTGGCTATAATATCTTCGTGTACTATGCGTTAAAGTATTTACAGTGTGAAGTGCGTTGCGCTTAGACCCTAGCGTTAACTATAAGTACGTATGAGTATGTATGTATTTACATCTACTAATAACAACTTCGATCAACAAGTATTATTGGTGGAAGACTAACAATTAGTAATTTCTGCTTAATTGTTTTTTTGCCATTCGATGTAATTCTTGTGTTTTCCCTACCTATTCGCTGGTAGCCTAGGGGGCTATTCCAGTTACGCCTCGACGGGTAGGTGAGCTCACGCGATTTACCTGAGAGAATTTGCTAGTTCACTAGTCCTAGCAAGAGGAGTGCTTCGCAGAATCTACCACCTGATCGGAATCGCGACCCATTGTGATCTGTTACTCTTCACGTAAACTAATGCAAAAGTTATTTTCTCATCGTAAAAGCTATACATTAGCGTTTATGTATTTTATGTAATCTTTCAGTCAGATTAAAAATTAATGTTTGATTTGTGATTTTTTTTTCTCGTGGTAGGACATCTTGTGAGCCCGCTTGGGTAGGTAACACCACCCCGCCTATTTCTGTCGTGAAGCAGTAATGCGTTTCGGTTTGAAGGGTGGGGCAGCCGTTGTAACTATACTGAGACCTTAGAACTTATATTTTAAGGTGGTTGGCGCATTTACGTTGTAGATGTCTATGGGCTCCTGTAATCACTTAACATCAGGTGGGCTGTGAGCTCGTCCACCCATCTAGGCAATAAAAAAAATATATATAATACTATTATATTAATATTTTTAGTACATATATTACAATTTCTGTAGTATATGATTGTAAGTTCCGCTACTATTATTAAGAGAATCAAAACAACGAAACCGAAGAAAAGTGAATGCAAAATAATTTAAAATCAAACACCAAATCATTTACATCATTTAAGGCTAAAACTGACAGTGACAGTGCGAACTGCTAAATGTCAAGACGAATTCGAAAATTAAGTTACGGTTGTGTTTAAAAGATATAGAATTTTAGAATACAGATTTTTATTTCGTGTCATTAAACAGTCAAATGAAAAGTTAAGAACTTACAAAACGTTGAGTAAAATGGAAGATTTCGATGTATTCACAAATAAAATACATATCACGAAGCCTATTTACAAGAATATATTGAACAAATTCGCTAAGGATATACCTGTGACTCCATTTGGCCCAAATTATCAGAGTAAGTAATTTTGGTCTACACTCTTTTAATCTCGCTCATAAAATCGGGTCTTGTAAGCATGTTATCAGTACCTATGTAAACTCAGATTTATCTCTTTTAACTTAGACATAACGTGGCTACTGAGTAAAATAAAACGATGTGTACTTTTATCGTACCATGATTATTAGTTTAAAAGTACAAACGTCAGCCGTTGAGTATCAAATTAAAAAAATAGACTTTCTGAAAGCAGTCCTTAATTTAAGTAAGGAAAGTTAAGGTGGTTCATAGAAAAAAAAAAAATCCAAACAAATAAATAAAACTGAATAAAAATAGAACTAAGTAAAACCTTATTACACCAGTTTAAAAAAATACACAAACGTGAAAATGCATGATTAAGTTTTCAACTTACTTAAGTCAATTGTTTGTTTTCCGTTAGGTGCGAGAAAATTGTTGGCTGAACAATGTTTGATGGACGGTGACGAAGCTGGATGTGCGTTTCACTTCAGTGAATCAGTGTTTGCTACTTTAAGGACCATGGCAATTTATAGGGACGAGCAGATAAAATTAGCCAGTAAGTTTATTCACAACTAGTAAACTCAATTTGCTTCACTGGCCGAGACTTAATTTGATCTTGACGTTGTCGCTATGAAACTTCACAGGACAACTGGCTAAGTAATGGAGATTACTTGAAGTTTTTATTTAAATCAATCCAGTCATTTTGCAGTCTAAAGGGAAAATACACATTTTTTAATCCAATCAAACGGATTTGTTATGGGAGAGGTCGTTAAATAAATAAAAATGATTAACAAATTTTTATGAATTGGTAACTAGAACTTGTAGAAATGTGATTTTCTTGTATCTATAGGGTTCTGTAACTGGTATGCATTAATTTGAGCCCAGTTAGCCTGTTGTAAGTTTATTAGAAGCTAAGACTTAGAATAGAAGACATAGAATCTTAAAGCGGTTCTGTTGATCCTGATGAGGTGACTAGATTGGCCATTTTACACATTAAAAATCTGTTTTGATTTAGTAATAGTGAAGACTGGCAATGTAAAGGTTGGTCTTGCATTGATGAATTAACAATGCTGTTGTTATAAATGCCTATTACATCTGTGGACACCTCACAGCCCGCCAATCTGATAGGGCTATGAGTTCCTATTAATAATAGCAGATGTCATGGTTAACTCTCACAGCTGACCCGCCTTTCAAACCGGATTCGATGAATAGTCCAAAGATAGAATGGACAGGTTGTGGAAATTTTAATACATAATAAAATTTAAAAAATTAAATCAAAATACAACAACAAATGAGTAACAGTTTTAAAGGAAAGTTTAATATTTGATTTCAGATGACAACCTAAGAAAGATAACAAGTTACATAAAACCTGTACAAGAAATAATTGAAGCTAATCCAAAGTAAGTGTGATACACCCTGGACCCTTGGCACTTGAGATGTCATGATTACCACTTATTTTGGTGAGCGAGATTCACCTCTCAAGTGTAAAAGGTTAAATTTATCTGGTAAACAAGATCTATATCGAACATAGCTATTTCTATTTTCATAATAAGTCTTGTAATCAGGCCTATTCTTACCCACTTGCTTACAAACCATTACTAAATATTATATATAAAATACATATCTTTGCTCTAATGGCTCCGATGTTATTCATATTGTTAAAGGTAATAATGCTAGCCTGGTAATCTTTCTCGCAAGAACCTCGAAACATATTAAGCTTAATTTAATGTAAATGATTTTGATTGCATTAGACTAGTAGTTATTCTTTGTTTACGCTGCAGGAAAAGTGGTTAACATGTGGAAGTGGCTATGATATTTTGGTGTGCCGTAGCTAAAGTTAACTTTAAAGAACTCTAAACTTGACTGACTACCCAAACGTTTCTTTTCCAGGACTGATGACCAATTAATTGATAACTTAATTAAAATAAATGACATAGATGTAACGGGAGTTTTAGACTCGATCAAAACAGACGACGAGCTACCATTTCACCAGAGATACTTGAAATTCAGCTCTGAAAATAATATTGACAACTTCAGGAGGATACTGAAGGAATTGCCAAAAGGTATGCTGCTGTATTAAATTTTATTAAAACCAAAAATTTATAACCAATATATTTATTCTATATTGTGTATTTATAGTAAATGAAATGTGAAACACACATTTGCTAACACACCTACCATGCTATCCCTTGTTCGTTGATGGTACTATATCAGAAACCTGCTGAGAATTGCAAACAAATACTGCAATGTTCTTACTTATACACATACATGTACGCTAAAATGAGCCTTAAAAGTTACGTAAGTACCATAAGTTACTCCTTATATCATAAGCTACCTATCAGTGAAAGTCTCTTCAAAATCGGTCCAGCTGTTCCAGAGGTTAGCCAGAACAAACAGACAGACAAATAGAAAAAAAAAATTTGGTGTATGTACCGTACATATATATGCATATGCATGTATGCAAAACGGTTATTTCAATATTACAAACAGACACTCCAATTTTAGTTATATGTATAGATAACATATTATGTATTATTGGTATACTGCTTTGTCTATGTTTTCATACTTTTGACATAATTAGACCGAAATTAAACATTACCGTTGACAGTGGAGTATGGTATCAGTTAATTTCTTTAACTCATGTCTTTTTTAAATTCAATTAAATTTAGTCTTCACCCTCTTTTCTCAACATGGGTAGCTCTCGTAATTCTCGTTGCTATGTCTATGGGCTCTGGTATAACCACTTAGCATCAGGTGTGCTTGTTCACACATTTATACAATAAACGGACATTACTAGTTTATTCTACTGTAGTGTGTGTGATGAGAGGTAATTTTTATTTATTAATTAATTTCAGAATGGACAGTAATACAATTGACCGCACCGTACAATCCTAATGAAAATTTGAAGCAAATGGATGAGTTCAGAACAGAGGTGGATTCGATATATTTAAGCGTTTTCACTAATGATTATTTAGATGACAGTGATTTGGGTCCATTTACTATAAACATTCCAGCTAATCAACACAAAGGTAATTTTTGTTTAATACACGTCCAGCCCCATAGATGTTTTATAACATAGATTACCATAGGTAGGTTTATCAATTTTATGTTAGTAAAACACCCTTATGAGTCGAATATGAACATAAAATAAAAAGTTGAAGCGATGATCCATAAACGTTAGCAACTGTCGCCAATTCACCAAGTTGAACAGTCCATGGACGCCAATAAAATGAGATAATCTATTATTAATCTACGTAGAAAAGTATTTAGAATAATATTTGATTATAAAAATATAATGTAAAAGAAGAATGTATGTGTGTATGTACATATATGTTCATCTAAACCTCCAAAACCGTTAGCCCGATGTGAAACTTTGCAACACTTATAGAGGGCGACTTCATCCGATGAACGTAGTTACGTTAGTGCTGGATAGGTGGCGCTGGTTTTTGTCTTTTGAATAATAGCTCGGATTGATATTAAATCTATATATATAAAAGATAATGTATGTGTGTATTTAGGTATATTCACCTAAAATTATCTTATGTAGTTATCTTTCTTGTAATTGTATAATATTTTGTGGAGGGTGGCGTCGCGGGCACCGCTAATAAAAACATAATTTGTTGTGCAGAAGGCGAAAGACCACTGTTCACGGAACTGTACTCGTTGTTGGACGAAAACTACAAGACCATCGAGAACGCGCAGTTCCTCAACAACAAGAGGCTCGTGCAGGACTACTGGGCCAAGCGGGAGGACATTGACCTCAGAATGAAGGTACTTCAGAAGAAGAATCTTTTTTTTAATTTATTTTTTATTGCTTAGATGGGTGGACGAGCTCACAGCCCACCTGGTGTTAAGTGGTTACTGGAGCCCATAGACATCTACAACGTAAATGCGCCACCCACCTTGAGATATAAGTTCTAAGGTCTCAAGTATAGTTACAACGGCTGCCCCACCCTTCAAACCGAAACGCATTACTGCTTCACGGCAGAAATAGGCGGGATGGTGGTACCTACACGCGCGGACTCACAAGAGGTCCTACCACCAGTAAATCTCCACCCTGTATACGAATATTCAACAAACTATATAGGAGTATTTGAAGTCGTCGTGGCCTAAAGGATAAGACGTCCGGTGCATTCGTATGTAGCGATGCACCGGTGTTCGAATCCCGCAGGCGGGTACCAACTTTTCTAATGAAGTACGCACTGAATGTTGACGATTGACTTCCACGGTGAAGGATTAACATCGTGTAATAAAAATCGAACCCGCAAAAATTATAACATAATTTGCATAATTACTGGTGGTAGGACCTCTTGTGAGTCCGCACGCGTAGGTACCACCACCCTGCCTGTTTCAGCTGTGAAGCAGTAATGCGTTTCGGTTTGAAGGGTGGGGCAGCCATTGTACTGTTAAAAATGAGACCTAAGTACTCATATCTCAAGGTGGGTGGCGGCATTTATGTTGTAGCTTGTTCACCCATCTGAGCAATAAATAAATAAAAACAACCCAAGTAGTCGGCCTTACAGCCGGCCTGACAGATATCAAGATGAAAGTGTGTGTCGTAGAATGGTATAACTATAAGGAAGAGTCTAAACTTAGCTTATAAGTCGTCGTGGCCTAAAGGATAAGACGTCCGGTGCATTCGTAGCGATGCAACGGTGTTCGAATCCCGCAGGCGGGTACCAATTTTTCTAATGAAATACGTACTTAACAATTGTTCACGATTGACTTCCACGGTGAAGGAATAACATCGTGTAATAAAAATCAAACCCGCAAAATTATAATTTGCGTAATTACTGGTGGTAGGACCTCTTGTGAGTCCGCACGGGTAGGTACCACCGCCCCGCCTATTTCTGCCGTGAAGCAGTAATGCGTTTCGGTTTGAAGGATGGGGCAGCCGTTGTAACTATACTGAGACCTTAGAACTTCTATCTCAAGGTGTGTGGCGCATTTACGTTGTAGATGTCTATGGGTTCCAGTAACCACTTAACACCAGGTGGGCTGTGAGCTCGTCCACACATCAAGGCAATAAAAAAAAAAAAAAAAAAAAAAATAGCTTATGTTGCACGTTGTGAACTCCCAAACACTAAACAGTCTCACGGTCCGGGGATAGTTGTCATCCTTGGCTCGGGCAATAAAATGTCTGCTTTCAGAGTGTAATTAACGTGATGGACAAGGAATGGCTCGGCGGATGGGGCAGCTTGCTGACTGGTAAACTTATTGATACGAAATGGAAAGAAAAAATCAAGAGCACAGTACAGAATACCGTCTCTGACTGGGGGTATGTCGTTATAATTTTTTACAAAACTTGTGATAAGTAGTGCCTCAGCTATGTTTTATATTACAAAACAAATTAGAAAGCTCCACATGTGTCTCAAAGCTTAGAGCTTAAGGTCATTTAGTCATTATGGAAAGAGCTTAATGTTGTTGCCATAATAAATTTTCGGAGAGCTCCAATCAGTGACAACTTGAGCAGATAGAAAATATTGGATAAAATTTTTCCTCTTTATAACAGTAAAGGGTTCTATGAATGAAATATATAAATAACTGGGAAGAAATCATGCACGATCATCTGGTCCCAATTTAAGATTCTTTGTTTTATGGGTAGTAGTAACTGAGATACATACTTAGACTATATACGTTTAAATATATAGATAATAAACACGCACATTTCACACGTTCATTGCATGTTTGCCCGTTATGGGAATCGAATCCACGACCCTCTGCGTAACAGTCACGGTCCCTAAGTTCTGCACCATCGAGTCAATCAAAACTATTTATAAATTATCAGCCTAATCTTTCGTCTTATATGTAAAAGATTGCTTTGGAGTTTCTTTTTTAAATCATAAATCGTGTTATCATTTTACGAGTCCCTCGTTCCAATGTATACCTTGAGGCATGAGTAGTCTCAGCTGTATTCAGGTAAACACAAGGCCGCTGGGTGGTGGTGTAATTAGGAAGAACGGTGGTGTCAATCTATGGGGTTATTACACCGTCTGTACTCAAGGTGGAATTCGGAGGACCGGTACTAGCAGACTGTGTCCTGTTATTCTAGACTGATGTGGTTTTTTTTTATTGATTAGATAGGTGGACGAGCTCACAGCCCACCTGGTGTTAAGTGGTTACTGGAGCCCATAGACATCTACAACGTAAATGCACCACTCACCTTGAGATATAAGTTCTAAAGTCTCAGTATAGTTACAACGGCTGCCCCACCCTTCCAACCGAAACGCATTACTGCTTCACGACAGAAATAGGCAGGTTAGTGATACCTATCCGCGCGGACTTACAAGACGTCCTACCACCAGTAAAATTCCATCGACTAAACCAAACCTTATTTCAGGTTAATGGGACTAAATGAGAAGCAAATGATACTCTTGTACAATCTCATGGAGAGTTGCCCGGTGTTGTCATCGCAACAGCTAAAATCGTGCATAAGGAAAATCCTGACGGAACACGGCAACACCGAACGTTTCAGACAGACGCTGACGTGCTGCGAAAGTTGCAGCAAAGATTTTAATTTACTGAACGAATTGTGTCTGAAATGTTTGTCGAAATGCTTCGAGGCCGTCCACCATTTTACGTTGGTCGACGCGATACGAGCGTTTTCTCAGCTGGCAACTCAGATAAAGGACTGCAACGAGTGGGCAACACTGAAGAAAGCTAAACGACACCCCGTCATATTGATTGTTGATGAGGTAGGTGTTAGTTTTGGTCAAATATTTGTGGTGTAGTTCCGTCATGGAGTCAAGAGTCAGCGTCCGTGCCTAGGCGCTTGTGGGTCTGTCCAATCTCCCGTTGTACGTGAGGTAGCTAATGAGTTTACGGATAGGGGGAACGCGGTAACTGCCGCTAAGGCCCATGGACATCACATACTTTATACGATAAGGTCGAAGTTTGAATTGTGTGTGGACGATGTTTCTCGCGAATATTGTCTGAATGATGGTGCCCATCTGAGGGTTCACAGCAGTATTAGGAACTTGAGGAGTTGTTATATATGGCGACTGGATTTATTCAACGCTGGTGGATCTTACAAATGTTATCCAGAATAAATTTCATTTTTATTTACTTGCTGGACAGTTGCTGAGTCTAACGTTGAGTGGTCTTCGGAAGTCTCTTTGAAGAAGTAGATGTCATAGCGCTCGGGAAGCACCGTGGAGGGGAGCTCATTCCAAAGCCGAATGGTACGTGGGAGAAAAGATCTCTGGAAACGCACTGTGGGTAGTTCTGTGGGTAGAGACAGCCCACTGAATTTCTCGCCGGATCTTATCAGTGGATCCGGTGGTAGTTCTGCGAAGCAACTGCTCTTGCTAGGGTCAGTGTTAGTAACACTCCGGTTTGAGCCCCGTGAGCTCACCTACACGTTATATAGCCTCTCAAGGTTATCGAAAAAGGTTAGGTTAGGAAAAAAAAGGTGTCCGGTCCAAGGTCAAAAGGAGGTCATCTCAAACAGTTCCTTAGCTGAAGTGTGTCGGCAGGCGCTGGACACGTTCCCGTGGGAGAGCACGGCGGCGCTGCGCGAGCACCCCGCGTCCCGGATGGAGAACATCCACTTCCTGTACCACCTGTACAAGCTGCACGAGGGACGCGTCGCGGCCGGGCACTACGTGGCGGGCGGGGGCGTCGGCAGATACGTCATTAACCCAGGTCCGAAGCCGGGCACTGTGTCCACTGCTGTAGCTCCCCGAATCTGCTGGCGGGTAGATTGAAAAAAAAAATTTGAGCAATGGGATCACCCCCCACCGGCCCCCTTGGGACGTAGCTTGATTATGTCCAAATAAAAATAAAACGGCGCGCGTGCAACTTGGTGCACGTGAATGAAGTGAAACTTCTGTTTCGATGTGTAGTATTGTCGTTTTCTTCATTTTTCATCCTTAAATCAGATTGCTCTTGTAATAGCGAATGTTGTGTATAAGAAATGCGACATCTTCAACATTTATATTAAAGATACTATATTAAATTATCGATAGAAATATATATTTTTTTAAATACTTCATTAAAACATTGGCTGCTACTCGTTGCTAACGCTCGCGTTGGCCTGTAACAGGTATACTACGCGCATGCGCACGAGTGCCGCGCATCTACTCTCGCTGTCTCTTTCTATTCTCCCTCCCCAGGAGCGTTAAACGTTTAACGCATCCTTGTTGGAAGTCTCATTAGAAGTTTCACTTCAATAAAACCACGCAAATTGAAGCGTGGGACGCCTCACGACCGACGATCGAAAGCAACTGATGCTATTGAAAACAAGTCTGTATACTTACTTCCCTCTATTCGTACTCAAAGTTATCCGTAGACAACTTTTTTTTTTTAATTGCAGAGAAGAATTTAGACCGAATGGAGAAGAGAATGAAGTCGTTTGTGGAGTACTGGTGCGAGTCGTGGCGCGGCTGCACGGGCTGCGCCCCCACGCCCGAACAGTTCATAGAGTACTTGAACGAGGCAGACATATTCCTGTGAGTTGTTGTAACTATACTTGAGACTTTAGAACCTATATCTCAAGGTGGGTGACGAATTTACGTTGTAGATGTCCATGGGCTCCAGTAACCACTTAACACCGGGTGGGCTGTGAGCTCGCCCAACCATCTAAGCAATAAAAAAAGTTGTAATCTTGAGACGCACCAGCAAAATTTCTTATTTTTTTATTGTATTTGTAGGCAAACGGGCATACGGCCCACCTGATGGTGAGTGGTTACATGGACGTCTGCAATGCCAGGGGCAGAGCCAAGCCTACCATTAAGTACTCTCCGCAAGCCTCGTTTGAAGAAGGATATGTCATAGCGCTCGAGAGACACTACCCGGGAATTATTACCTGGATCCGTGATTTTCCTCCTTCCGGATCCTCCTAACCATGTCCACCCGTTCCGTTGATAAGGAATGTATAACCTTTCTCAGAAGTTAAGTACAAAATCCAGAAAAATACTTTGAATTGTTATATACTACATTGATAGAAAATACTATATTTAAAAGTCAACAATGACTACTTTCATTTTAGAGTTGAAATCAGAAAATGCTTAGTGTGTTCTTCCACAGAGTATATAAAAATATAGGCAAAAGTATCTGCTCGAATGCAGCCAATAAAGATGATTTTATAAAAAACCAAATTTAAACATTTAATGAAAAACATTGGTAATTAGATAAAGGGCTTATTTTTCGTGAAAACGTTATTTTGTATAATCGGCTAGGAAATTTCTATTAAATAGTTTTTCAATCAAAGAAAATCGTATCGTAAAATCGTAATCGTATCCCTTATTGTGTAGATTAGCCCGGTGTTACTGCTCGGCAGGTACTGCGGCCACGGCGACGGGTGTCGATGTGCGGGGGGCGGCTCCGTGGTGGAGGGGGGCGGCGCTCGCGGGGTCTGCGTACTCGCGGGCTGCGGCTCGGTGCGCCTGTGTCGCACGCAGCCGCGCCGACCGCCGCGCGCCGCGCACCTGCATCTGCACGTCGCCGGCAGGTACGTACGCACACACGCACGCACGCACACGCACATACACGCACACACACACACACACACACACACACGCACACGACACCTCCAACATTACTTGATGTCTGGAGATAATATTGGGCATTACACTTTTAGTCCAATGGTGGTCGGCATGCTGTGGGAGGTGACCGACCTAGAAGTGGACAAGGTGGTGACGACGATGATGTCCCTGTACGTGCCGTCCCGACAGGCGCTGCCCTGGTCGGCCGTGGGGAAAACTAAATGGAGCCAGGGGATTATCGGTAAGGCACGCGGGAGCAGACGTCCCCGCACTTATTTTTATTCATTGTGTCCGAAACTAATCTGTGGGATTGTGAGTTTTTACCACGGCAACACTGGTCGCGAATTGACGGGGCAGAGGACTTTTTGGCGGGAACGCGAGGAGTGAAGTTGTGTAATTTGTTTTATTTTGTCTATTTAGTGTTTCTTCAAGTTTAAATGTGTAATAACAGTGGCTTATTAACTGTTTAGTATCTGTGAAAAAGCACAAATGTGGGAAATGAAACAAAGCCGCTGGACGTAACTTCACGGGATCCTCCAAAAAGTCCACTGATAAAATCTCAGTAAATGACCACCATTTTACTGAGATTATATTTCAACCCATATCATTTCATCTCAGTTGATTAATGTCTCAAATTAATCATCTTCATTTCATTTCACATTTTACACCATTATCATTTTTCATAAAAATAAGAATATAAAATAAAATAAGACTTAAAGGTCTTAGTTACCAAGTCATAAAATCCCTTTCAAAAAGAAAACCATTGTTTTGATTATTATTTAAATCATAAGATGTCATTTTGATTAATGTCAAAAATGTTGGGTACCGTGACGTCATTATTAAAGACAGAACGTGAAGACAGTTGGGTCAAAGACACGATCAACGTAGATCAAACACAACACAAATATATGATGTTCCATTTTGAATGCTTATACTGTAACGTGATTTGCTTCAAAGATTCTGTTCCTAGCCGACAAATAAATAAAAGAGGCATTGTGATCATAAACTGAAACTGCTTGACTAGATGTGAGCCCGCCCGGCTGCCCGGCCCGGCCGCCGCACGAGCCGCAGCTGCTTCGCGCGCTGGGCGCCGCCCGGGCCTCCACCAACTTCATCATGATCGCCAGCAGCGTGGTGGCCAGGGGGCTGCCCGTCAAGAACTACCAGTGACGTGACGACTCCGTGTATTTTGACATATGGCAAGTTTTGAGAACTGTCACATTTGACACTTCGACCTGACAGTGGTGCTTGTTTAATTAAAAATATTAAAACGAAATGTCAAAAAATGAATAAAATGAAAAATATTGAAATGAATTTTAGCGGTAGGCAGCGGCTTGGCTCTGCGCTTGGCATTGCTGAAGTCCATGGGCGACGGTAACCACTCACCATCAGGTGGGCCGTATGCCCGTCTGCCTACAAGGGCAATAAAAAAAATCTTAGCTACTCACTTAATTCTTAGTGACTATCTGTGACTTTGCTCGTTCACGAAGCCCGCTATAGACAGCAGAGTATTATATACACTTGACACTTGACATTGGCGAAATCTAAAAGAAAACGCCATAAACCCAAGAGATAGATAAAAAAGAAAGGTTGTTTAAGGAGTTTGTAACTCTGAAAACGATATAAATCACTTGACTCAGACTTAAATATTATTTAATAAGGTTAAAAGGCTGATTTGATCGTTGATTTCAAAGTAATATTATTATGTTAAAAAAGTGAAGAATTAAAAAAAAAAACGGGCAATGGTGAAAAGTGAATTATTATCTGTGATAATAATAAGAATTATATTAAATATGTATTGATTTAATTAATAATGATTACACTTACTTGTAAGTCAAAATTGAACAATATTGTACAATAAAAAAATGTTTCAATAATAATTTATGTAATAAATGCTTTCGAATGAGGTAGAAAAGAATTTTGTCTCTTTTTTTCTTCAATTTTACTATTTATTTTCAATATATCTCTAATCTTGTAATGTCTTCTTTCATAAAATATCTTATAAGTAATTATGTATTTCTATTATTCTTACTAAAATAAATTTATTCTATTTTTATCTGTGTTTTCATTTGACACTACCTCTGTGAAGATTTAGCTAAAGGACTAAAATCCAGACCATTATGTAAAAATAGCATAATGTACTCGTATTAAACGAGGCGACCGTGCCGGCGGGCACCGATTTTTCCAATGAAATAAGTGCTTAATGAATGTTCACGATTGACTTCCACGGTGAAGGAATAACATCGTGTAATAAAAATCAAGCCCCCAAAACCCGTTTTAGCTCACATAACTCACGGTAGATGGCGGCATGACACCAATCGCCTACGGGTATAGAATCCAAATTCGAAAAGGTGAATCATGGATGTTCGACCTTTTGCCTCTAATATGGAAATTGTTGTGTCTGGAGCGAGTAGTGGTGCTATATGTAAATATTACATAAATATTCAGGCGTGTGTGGTAATCTGTGCGTTGTCCCGGTGGCGCGCCGGGAGGGCGGTTGTGTTAGCGGGGAGGGCGGGGGTGCGGGCGCGGGCGCGGCGCCGCCGTGACGAAGGGGGCGTGCGCTCCTTGCTCTCCATCTGACGTTGGATGGCCTGCAACATAAACATATATACCCGATCCTGTGGACCGAATAGTAAACAGGTGACGTCGCCTTAAACACGTCATTACGGATCCTCCCGAACCATTAACGGTGCTTTTAGGTACCACAAGCACCGGTCACCGTTCTCGCCGAACCCGTCGCTTGCGGCGAAGGGCTCGACGAGTAAATTAACCCACAGACACAGCCCACTAAGTTTCTCGCCGGATCTTCTCAGTGAGTCGCGTTTACGATCCGGTGGTAGATTCTGCGAAGCACTGCTCTTGGTAGGGCCAGCGTTAGCAACACTCCAGTTTGAGCCCTGAGAGCTCACCTACACGCTAGGGCAACGCTGAAATAGCCTCTAAAGGCTATCAGCATAGGTAGGGAAAAAACAAACATGTTTGATACTCCAGATACCAGATACCAGATACCAGAACTCACAGACAACAAATGTGAATGTTGAGTCGTTAGTTAGTATAACAAACTAGAAACAGGATGGCGGTACCGGTCTGGGCCGCCACACAATCCGCCCAACTATTACTACGGATGGTTGTAGTTAACCAATAAACAAACTTAAACGGCTTATGTTTTAAGAGAATAGTTACGCTCGGCTTCACCCGCTTGGCTTCACCCGTTTGGTCAAGAAAAAGTGGCACTGTAGTTCAATGAAATATTTATTCGGATTAAACAGTAGCCCACGTCACTACTCTGAACTAAAATTTATCGCTTTAAAAATTAGCTGGCTAGCTGTGGCTTAGTTTCGACGTGAAAGACGGATAAACAAACAAGCAAACACACTTTCAACTATAATAACAACAGTAAACTATAAAAATTGGACGCCTACGATGGGCAGGACATGACAATCACGCCACGTCCGCTGGTCCCGTGCTAAGTTCGTAAAGAACTTGTGTTAGGTACAGTTACCAGATAACGGAAATAAATGTAAGATTTTTATTATACACATACATATATTTAATATACATCCATAACCTTGGAAAATACATTTTATATTTATCATACAAATATTTTCACTTGGTGGGATTCGAACCCGCGACCCCCTTGTGTAGTGACCATGTCACTTACCACTACACCAGACGGCCGTTGTTAGTTAGAACGGAGGAGTCCAGAATTCCAGGACAACTAATATATGGTAAACCAGAGGGCCGCGGAAGTCGTGACACGCTCAAACTCCGATGGTTAGATGGCGTAGAACACGACCTTAGAGTTATTCGTGTCAAGGACTGGAAGGAGAAAGTCCTTAAAAGAGCATTCTGATGAGATATACTGGACCAGGTTAAGGCCCAACCCTGGGCTCTAAGGTCTAAGATGTTGAAACGCACTCTTATCTATACTAATATTATAAAGCGGAAGAGTTTGTTTGTTTGAACGCACTAATCTCAGGAGCTACTGGTCAGATTTGAAAAATTCTTTCAGTGTTACTTAGCTCATTTATTGAGGAAGGCTATAGGCTATATAACATCACGGTAAGACCGATACAAGTGGAGGACCAATAAATAATGTTTCAAAATAGGGGTTTAAATTGCTTCCTTAACATTCTATAATTCAAAAACATTTTAACTTTTTACGTTAATGAAGTGGGGGGTAACATTTAGCGTTATGCCAAAGTAACTATTCCACGCGGACGGAGTGGCGGGCAAAAGCTTGTATTTAATAATATTAGTATGAACTCACCTCGTCAAGTTTGATAATGTCGACGATTTCTGTTATTTTCTTCTCAAGGCTTTTGATGTAAAGTCGGGCGTTAGTCACGTTGATGACGAACGACTTACCTAATAACTTTAGCAATGGCAGAGAATCGCATTCTGATGCCCTAGAATTTAAAAACAAATTCAAGAAAGATCAAATGCAATGCAACTTTTGCTACAACTCCTCTTGTGGTTGAGTTATCGTCGTGATCTTGTTACTAAACGGAGAAAGGGATTAGGAAATTTTATTTCGATCCTCCATTACGTTCGTCTGTGCATTGCGAGTTCTGCTTTTAACTAAATTAATCTTGTTTAAACCTATGTTTACGGTTTAGTATATTGGTTTTTAATCTCATTATATTATTTCTGATATTTCGAATACAGTCCTAAACAGAATTTTAATTATTACTACGACTAGCGAAATCCAGTAATTTTAGATATTAACCTTATTGATCTTATCACTTTGTCGCCTGGGTCTATTATCACGGCCAACTTCGTGCAGTAAACTGATTCAAGAGGGGCATTGACAGAATCTGAATGCCTCTGCTCACTGACAGACGTGAGGTTATAGGTATAAAATCGTGGGTTTTATTCACTGCAATGCAACCCTCTTCCTGTCCTAGACAATGTTTACTAATCGTAATGTATTCTTCACCTGATGTGCTAAGGATAACTTGATACCTTTTTACTGGTGGTAGGACAATCTTGTGAGTCCGCGCGGGTAGGTACCACCGCCCTGCCTATTTCTGCCGTGAAGCAGTAGTGCGTTTCGGTTTGAAGGGTGGGGCAGCCGTTGTAACTATACTTGAGACCTTAGAACTTATATCTCAAGGTCGGTGGTGCATTTACGTTGTAGATGTCTATGGGCTCCATCCAGTAACCACTTAACACCAGGTGGGCTGTGAGCTCGTCCACCCATTTAAGCAATAAAAAAAAATTACAAATTCTTGAAATACTCACAAAGCTAAGCTATGTATTTGTTGCAGTAAGGAGGTGAGGACGTCTGTGTTTTTGTCGTACAATTGTTTAGCGTGGGCGGTCGCTTGTCGGCGCCCCTCTAACGTCAATCGGAGACTTTCAATGCTGTCCTGCTGCTTGTACAACTTGGCCTGGTGCTTGGCTGTTTCTTCCTCTATAATAAATACATTAAAATTCGTTATTTAAATGATAAACTGGGTATCAAAAGTGCGTCTCGGGACGGCTGACAGAAGTGATAACTTAATCTAAGTCGAACTATTTAATATTGAAATTGTTAAGCTTGAGAATAGCTATTACTTAATTTATATGTGTATATTATTAATCTATATATTAATACGTGAAGCAAAAACTTTGTAGGTATCCCTTTTTACGAAAATTGCGCGGACGGAGGAGTATGAAATTTTCCACACTTATAGAGAATATAGAGAAGAAGTGCACAATGCTAATATTTTTTTAAATAATGCATAAAAGATACATTAAATCAATAAAGAAAACATTACACATACTACATACCATGTATTTGACGCACACACGCATAGATTATACACTTAATATATTAGAGATAGATGCGCAACTCTCATTTTTATTTTTGCTTTAGTTAAAGCCCGGTCCAGCAGGCGTCGCTACGGTCGATTATTAGTCTCCCTACCCCCCACCAGGTGGCTTTTTTAGTAATTTTAATATTTTTAATAACTCTCTTTATGAAAAAATCTTATCGTTTAGAATCGCTGGAATTCCCGGTAGTACTTATGAGATATTAAGGAATGTTTGATTGTGTTCAGCATTCTAATCGATAAGATCTTTTCATACAGAGAGAAAACAGTTTTTTAAAATAAAAAGCTGTAATTCTCTGTAAGCTATTTAATTTCCCTATATTACAAACAATTTTCAGTTAAAAGATTGTATGAACGTACAATTGTATAAAACTTCGAATAACAATAACTCCTCTAGATTAATCCTACTAGCGTACTTATTAACATTAAATCGAAAGTTATCTAAAAGTTAATTAAGTCTAGATAATCAAATCATTCAATGTCAATTAAGTCATTTGTGCGAAATATAAACATGTCAGCTTTCCATTATAAACATAGTAGACAATTTGAATTAAATTTAATAAATTTGTTTCTTAATGATAGCAGTTCTTGCTTAAAGTTGATCGTGACAGATCATGACCTTGTATGAAAATATTACATCTATAAATACTACCTATGCTTCGTCATACAATAATTGTCATTTAAACTAGCATTGTAGAGATANTGGAGTTGAATCCAGGCCGCAAGGGAGGATTGGTGGAGCGGTGTCAGCTAAGCACGTGCCCAGCTTCTTCCAATCCACCATGGTCCTCGTATCTGGTTCGCGGTTGAGTGGGCGACCGAGCTGCATGACGACAGGTCGGTGGTCTGAGTCGAGTTCTGACATTGCCTCGATGGAGCGTAAGCGCAGAGTTACGTTCCTCAGCAGTGCCAGATCTATTGTGCTCGTACGACGCGCGGCGTTGTACGGATAGCACGTGGGGGTCGGGGGGTTGAATATTTCGAATGTGAGGTCGTCTATGAACGCGTCGAGACGCCTACCGTTCACATTCGTGCGATGGCAGTTCCACCTAGTGTGGTGGCAATTTAGATCGCCTGCCAGGATGACCGCGTCCCCCATACCGAGCAGTGTCTCGAGGTCACTGCTCAGGAGGGGTTTGTCAGGGGGGAGATAAGCGGATGCGATGACGATCGGCTGGTAGGTCGACTTAACCTGTAACCCTGTATATATAGTACGGCTGGACCTCGGCAGCCACGACGATTTCGAAGCTACAAACTACTGGTAGCAGCAATTAAAACACAGGTCACTGCCGTACTTTGCCCATTTCTAAGAGTATTTTCTAGTTTTCTGAAGAAATTGATTTTTCGTTTAAGAGATTTATATTTTATTAATATAAATTTCGGCGCAACGTCACTATTTAGTCAACTAAAAATAGTTAAAAATAGTGAAGGTCTCCACACAAACTTAAATTGGGTCCTTACATAGGAAATTTACGTTTTGTATGGGAAGAATATACCTAAAGTAATTTCTTTTTGTAAAATATATTTAATTGATCAAAGTATTCACCGTTGTTATATATGCACTTGAATAGTCGGTTCGTTCTTTTGTCGACTATTTTCTATGTATATGAGAACGGTCAATTCGTTCCTTGTCGTCTCGTTTGTGTCCGACTTTTGGGAAGTCAAAAAATGTATTGTACTGCCTGCCGCTAGTCACGTAGGTACGCCCTCGTTCCATTTCTTTTCGAATTCTTGTCAAGTCCTGTCTTAGTCTGTGTCTATGTCTAGTTGTTGTAGTTCTAATGTCCTGTCAAAGAGGTTGCACGCCATGACATCCCCACCTCCAGTACCAGAAGGCTGGTACTCAAGATGAGGAGTGTACGTCCTGCACAGTTTCGTCGCCGGTCTTGTGTAGAGTCCATGTGGTACTGCTGCATAAGTTGTAATTCGACGTATCTGTCTTTGGAATTCAAAATTATAGGGTGCCTGAAATTGTTATCATCGTCTGTATGGTATAGGCTGAGAAAGCGGAGAATCTCGCTTCACCGGTCCGGTTTTCTTGACACTTTAAATATCGTCTTTAAATATCGTCTTTGGCTTTCTCTAATCCAGATTAGCTCCGCTGCTTTAACTTCGCCGGCTGTCAACTTACCGTGTCGCTTGCTACTTTTGTGCATCCAGTTGTGTACTGCACGCATAAACTATCTCCAGTATCGGGAAAATCGACTGTCATCGGTTAGCTCTACAGTCATTAAAGTAAAGGTGCAGACCTCAACCTCGACGTCGTCAGACTTATCAGACAGAATCATCTGGTGGCCAGGTCTCTTTGGGCTCACGTAGAAATGACGGTCCATTCATCCATCGTGTGTTATCCTCGGTAACAGTCTCCCTTGTGGCGTTATCTGCAGCATTCAGTCCTGAAGGTACCCACCTCCAGTGACTGACATCAGTCAGCTCAGAAATTTCACTGACGCGAAGGGCTACGAAGGGATTGAAATGGCCACTATTAGACCTAAGCCAACTTACGGTAGGCAGCGGCTTGGCTCTGCCCCTGACATTGCTGACGTCCATGAGCGACGGTGACCACTTACCATCAGGTGGGCCGTATGCTCGTCAGCCTACAATAGCAATAAAAAAAAAACTTAACACGGTCTATGAATCAGACCACTAGGTCACGGTACTCAGGTCTATATGTTTCTTCAAAGAGTGAGCTAGTCTTGCATCCATAAGCGCAGCTTGTAACTCAAGTCGAGGGATACTCATCACTAAGAGGAGCAACACGTGCACGTGCAATGACAAAAGACACGTGCCATTTACTGCTTGCATCGCAAAAAATATGAAGTTCTGGCGGTTCTTGCTTGCCACATCTGTCGTTAAACAACCAACGTGGAGTCCTGAATTCGCTGGTCTTTTGCAGCTCAGCCAAACAAGACTGCCATTTTTCAAACTGGCTAAGCTCAACTTCGTCATCCCAACCAACATTTGACTTCCACAAATGTTACGACCCTTCACAGTGACGTAAAGCAAAAACCTAACGGGTCAAATAGAGACAGTAAGTCTCATCACTTCGCCTTTAGTCGGTCTTTTTATGCCTTTTTATGCCTTCGGGAACTACAAATGGAATAGAAATTCGTCAGTCTCTCGATCCCAACGTACTCCGAGTACTCTTTCGATCTGGTCATCTTTAGCATCTGAGAGGATTTTCAGACAGCTCGGGGCAAGTTTGTCAATCGGTAAGCGAGCTAGTAAACGTTTTGATGTTGTTTACGATTCTTATCTTGCACGTGTTGTTTTCGATGAATGCTTGCACCTGTTGTTTGTCGTCCCATTTTTATTAGTCATGAAGTAATGGTTTATAAAACACGCGCCGACATATATATACTCTATATACAGGATTTTATTTAAAAAATATATTTGTTTACCTCTATATTAACTTCATTATTATTATTATCGAGAAGTAGGTATCTTGATTGATATATATTACAAGGCTTCGTTTTTTTTAATTTAATTGTTTTTATGATCGATCAATCACCAATAGTCGTCGAAAAAACGATAATTAATCAAAATTAATTAATCTAAGCGATAAAAATAAAGATATCTAGTAAGGGGGGGGGCAACTTAGGGGTGATCATTTGTTTAATTTATTATAAATAAATAAAAGACGAACAAACAGTTTTTACATTCTAACATTAACGAACAAAAGACGACAAATAATTAAGAATAAAATAAAAACGAAAAT